CATGTTATGATAGATACTCTGTTGTTATATAACGTCTAGTGATGCTCGTACCGCTCCATATAATAATTAGTGTCTGTTTATCAAGACTGGCAGCACATGCCTTTACGGATTAATCTCACCTCACACAGTAGCAGCGGGTGAATCATATATGTATATTATGTAATTTGTTTTATCCTATAATCTGAATCAAATATTTTGAGTTCAACAGGATGTAGACGCTGAGAACCGCCACCAACTGTGATGGTCTTTGTACTAACAAATCGTCTTGATATTTATGATTTACTGATCAATATATTTTTTGGAAAGGTAGTCTACAGCTTGCTAAGGTAGACTAATTAAAACTGTGATACAGTGTTCATTATTCTACTTTTAATTAAATAACCATAATTATTAGTATTTTCTAACCTAACCAGATAAATCTAGTATTTTTTTTTGCAGATGTAATTGTGCTACTCTCTTTCTTAGTACATATATTTGTATGTATTTCTCGGCGCAACAATATTTAAAACCCTTATAAGGGGTAGTTGTTTTATAAGCATTTTACTTTAGAGGGTAGATGTGACATAAACAAATCACTAACGTCATTGTGTCAGTGATTTGTTTATCAAAATTATTTATTCTAGAAATCGTTGTGTGATTTGTATTAAAGAACACTAAAAGTTAATTCGTCCCGTAATTTGTAATATGTGACGATTAATCATTCTGTAACTTTAAGTAAAAAGGGAACTTAATAAGTAACTACTTCGTATTCAATGTTACTCAATTATGTTTTCTATAAATTATTATTAAGTGGCAATATTAAGATTGAATGTTTTAATAATTAATTACTAAAACTAATGTAATGTGTTGTGTTCATTTGAATAACTAAGACTATTTGTCATAGTTTAATATTTAAAATTAAAATTTGTATTCGCAAATGTTGTGCGACACAGTGCGACAAAGCGACACAGTGTACTGAGAGCCATTCAGGAGGAAGATTATCTAATTACAAGTGCTAGTTAAAGTCTGAAATAAAGTAATGACAGTGTTTGTGAGTGTATTAATGGTTAAATGAAAATGGAAGATGGATAAGTTGAATGTTGTAAACAGTGATTGTGACGGCAGCATTGCCTAGATCGGCTCCGTACCAACCTCTCAGATATCCGACAAACTGACAGCTCATGGGGACGATACACCTATCTCATTGCCGCTGCTCTCTTGTCTATTTTTTATCAATAGTCTATTTTGTCTTGAACTCTATACATAATTGAATTCTATTGACGTTAATTTAATTTTGTTTTTAAATGAGTATCAATAAAAAGAGTACCTTTAGACCTATATAACGTACACAGTCTCGTGTGTAAATAGACTTAATGGATTTAAACTCGGGCTTAATTTTGTTGAACGTTTATTTTAAATAGATTTTATAAATGAACATGGAGTGTGCACTAAAGTTAATGTAATATAAAAAAAAGGTTTTTACTGTTTCTTATTGAACACACATGTGATCTTCTGTCTGCTCTCTTTTAACATTCAGGAAGGCAGTAAGTTGTCATCGTCGGTGTGGTCGTGGTGTACGTGTGAACTGGTCCGGGCGACGCAGGCTCGACCTCTGACCCTCGTCCTGCACCACTCATCTGCTGCCCCTCGAGAACAGACCACGACCTCCCCGCAAGAGACGGCGCCCTCCATCCAACTGAGAGGATACAACGGGTATGTAGTCTGACCATTAATTCTTTCACGATACAAATTGTTTATAACAAAACGAATGTTGACCTAGAGATGTGTAAAACGTTACATATATCTAAAAACCATTTTAATACATATACATTTACATACGAATAGTAATCTTACGATAATACGAGTATACCTCGAACGTCATATCTCAACGTCATAACTATACTTGGTTTGAGTCATATCGGACGTAATTAAATTTGACCTACTTAATAAATAATTAAAATGAAAACTATTACGCGAACCCGTTTTTTTCAATATTTTTACACGATTATTGATATCACTAATAACGGAGCAGAGTTAATATTAGTGGGAATTAACAAAAATATCAAGAAACTATTTTTAGTTCGTGTAAATTCTTGGAGCATTATTATAGATTTAACCTTGAGACCTACACCATACACTTACATGTATGACATATTGTAATGAACATGAACGATACAGATATGAACCAATGCCACATTATATTGTTGTTGTTGTTTGTTTGTGATATATTATACGATTAAAGAAATGATATGCCACTAGATAGAAAAGTTCAACAATAGATATTCCTACTTCAATACAACTTCTCGGTGGTATTTTAACTGTTATACTCTCTGCCTTGGTTCTGTCACCCTCGATGCAGTGAGCTTTACAGATATGTCTGGAGAGTCCCAACATCCAAGGCGCTGTTGTGTTAGCCGTAGTCTCTAACGGCCCATCTCCAATGTTCTGAAGTTTCACCGTTTTGCGAACTCTAATTTGAAATTAAAAACGTCATTCAGACGTGATTTGTATGTCAGTTAGTATATAGGAGTACTAGTATGTTATACGATTATTATTTACAAGCTAGATTTATGTTATATTTGATATTTTATTCTCGCCTCATAACATCACCGGCGGGCAGTTCCAGGGCACACAATGTCACTCGTATCTCAGACTGAGTGATTCTGAGGTCGGAGTGTCGTTCAGCTTCACGCAGCGCCACGCACTGGACGGGTGGTGGAGGGCGGTACCACGCGACACTACATACAAATGAAACAAGACATAACATCAAGGATGTGTCTGTAACGGTTTATGCAGGCTGCATTTAAATCGTAAGTTAACTTTTAGTGAAAAAACATTCTACATGATAACATCTCTACATATCATTCTTTGGTTGTATCTACACACTACTGCGCATTATTCGTACTAGGATTAGTCTATGATAGTATTGCTCGCAGTAAAATATTTATATCAACAATATTCTCACCCGCACTCTTTAACTGGTAAACTTCGAAGCACTAAAGTGGAATAAGGCTCCACTTCATGACGTGGAATCGACCGTATTGTTAATGAGGCACTCTATCCCTCTTTTATCGACAGCTGCAGCGGTTGACCTGAGTGAACATTATTTTCAAACATATTTTTTCTCCTGTGATAATGTTTTTATATAGACATCGCTAAAGTCAGTGAAAACATGTAAACCTGATAAAACGATATATCTTGTATTCCAAAGCCGGCTGCCAGATATAACTCCACACCTGTGTCCATCTCTTCCTCGTACACACTTTGTTCCGAAACCTCTTCGTCCATAAAACTTCTTGCTATTTAAAACGATAACTATATATAAGTCGGTGTTTATTAAACTACTTACATAAATATTCGTAAAAATTAAACTCTCAACTGAGGGCAGAGAGACAAGGACAAACACGAGGTAATACATCAAAAAGACGCAAGTAGACACGGAATGGCAACTCTTGTTGTTTAAACTCTGAAATTTTCATAATGATATCATTGTTTTAATATTGATGATTGTGTTATTATTAGTTAATAAAAAGATTTAATAATTATATGTATAAATTATTTGGTTCCCGGTAACATAGGTGCCGATGATATTAATTATATATTCCTCAGAAGGCGTAAATATTGTGCGGTTTCATAAATATCAATGAATTCCCTAAAAGTTGGAATACAACTTATTTCTTTAAGATAATAGTAAGTTTTGTTTGTTGGCTCTGTTCTATCAAAGTATAATTATAATTCCTGTAAATTTCAGACAGGTATATTTACATATACATTCAAAAACAAGTAAGAAAAATAACAAAACAGAATTATATTTAGGATTCTATTAATTAACAGAAATGTTGATAAAAATCTTATGTTGCAAATTTACCGTTTAATATTTAATAAAATAATAACCTATGCCATCAAAAATTTATCATAATATGTTTATGCGAGAAAACCAGATATTTGTAACAGTTTCACACACACCTTTCTAATCCACTTCAAAACTGAGTTTTGGTTACATTTTTAAGAAAAGTTAAGAGGAAAAACATGGCAGCATTCCATGGAATCATCATGCGGGTGCCGTACGCGTAGGTCCCTACGCGTTGCAGAGAGACGCGATTAAACAGTGCCTGGGATTTGCGACCCAGGTGTAGGTTTAAGGGGCCCGCCTCTAACGCGCGTTAAACGCTCACCTGTACTGGTGCATTTTCTGTAACTGTATAAACGCATTGACCGCCTAAATATAATCACGGCTCGTATGAGGTAAACCTTGTATTCAACCTACCAAAACACAGACACTGAAATTTATTTGATTTTGTCCTCAATCCATCCGTCCACTCACAGTATTTATCCACTGCATTCCGTAGAACTTGACAATGTTTGTGGTTTCGTATCCGAATTGCAAAATCGTCAGCGAAGACTTAAATAGATCCCGTGTATTGATTATTAAACTTGAACCGATATCCTTATTCATGTACTAAGACATTAAATACAATATTAAATAATATTTTAGATAAACAACATCTTTAAAATAGTTCTACATTGTAATGTAATTGCTAGTGCGTTAACGTAAAAATACAATTTCTATAACAAGTGTTACCATTTTCTGTAACAATATATGGATACACAGTCAAGTCGGTGCGTGAGGTATTCGTTACGTTTACGAGCCGCTCGGGATCCGAGTGAGAGATCCTGGAATTAATTAAAATACCGAGTTATTATACAAGGGTTTAACAACATATTCACGATCTTATAAAAGGACGAAAAAAACGACACTGATGAAATATATTTTAATAACACCCTAAAGATACCCTTTTTTATTACATAACCGTTGTACCAAAATACAATAGAAGAAATATTTTAATCTAATCATAAATATCTTTTACTTGTGGAAAAATTTCAAAGGAAAAATGTCTCGTAATATATATCTTTATTTTCAACTAATATTTAAACTAATTTAAATAACATATTTCGATTGTTACATTTTGTATATTTGTAGCGATTCATATATTAATTATCATTTACAGGATATCATAACCTTACCACAGCACCGGCCATTGAGAGTCTCGTGTTCGCAAAGCGAAGCTCAGCGGCGAGCCGACCGCCTCCACCCACACGTCTATGACCAGCGGCTCCAACTCCTCGACCTGTGAACGAAAGAAATGTTGATTGGAAAATACGAATGGACCGCTGGAGTCGTATAGGGGACCTCGCAAAGTATTACAAACAAATAGGTTTGATCTGTACTAAGACGCTGTGCATGTTGTCTGAAAATTCCCTCAACAAAACATGAAACATTCTCCCGACCCTACAGTGTTTATAGTCAGTTTGTCTGGAGTCCTCTAAGTGAGTTTCCTGCGCTAGTCAGTCGAGGTCATACAGTAGCTACATTGTCACATCTCTCAGATCCCTCCCTTTAATATAAGTCTCATCAGCTACTGTCTTTGTTTATGAGGATCATGTCATCTTATTCTGCATTCCCGTCACTGCTCTAATTGTTTTTTTATGTCTCTTCAATAGTGAGAAGCATACGACAACTTTATTATATTAAAATTATATGATTCCTGTTTAATTAAAAACTAGCATTCATTCATGTAAAAAAAATAAAAAAAAATTAAAAATAAAAATAATTTATTTACATTCAAAGTAGTACACTTGTTTATACATCGTTGGGTACCCCCTTTTAAGTATATCAATACCTGTAGTAGGAGGCCCCGCTCTTCCCTTATGCAATCAGCGGTAAGTACTACGAGACAACAGTTACAAAATATACTATACTTTACATAAAAATTTTCTCATACTAAAACTTAAATAATAACAATCACGGTAATACAAAAACAAAATTTTATCTAAAATGTGTATTATTATAACAGTATTAATAAGTGAGGATGTGAGAGTATCTGAGGCGTAAGGCTAAGCATGTGTTTTTGTGAGTGTGTTGGCTTAGGCATGTTGTGAGTAGTGTTTGTCGGTGTGTGTGTGTGTGTGTGTGTGTGTGTGTGTGTGTGTGTGTGTGTGTGTGTTGTGTATGTATAAGGGACTGTATGAATGCGTGTGTTTGTGTTTGCCTTGTTTATTCGCAATAGTTTGTTAGGTGATGTATTCAAGCAGGGATTCTATTTCTTTATAGTTACGTTTTAACAGCCAGTCTGTTAAAGCTTTTTTGCAATTATAGTATGTACTGGAATATATGTCCACTTCCTGGTTTATTTTATTAAACAAATAAATTGATTGTCTTGAGTATTGTCTTGAGGCAAATTTACTTTTGATAAATTCATTATATGGCACTGTGTAGTTCCTGCGTTTATTTGTTAATGGAGGTAAATATTTCAAACTTTTATGGACCCTTAATACTGTTGCTATTATATAAAGTTTTCTCACCGTAAGTAGACCACTTATCTCGTACAGTGCAGTGGTAGGGAATCTATATGGTTTGCCGTACATCACCCTTATTAAACATCTTTGAGCTCTTTCCAGTTCAAGGAATCTAGTCTTAGCTGCTCCACCCCAAACAGGAATGCAGTAGCTCAAAATCGATTGTACTAAAGCTATGTACACTTTATTTAGTAAGGGCTTTGCACATACATACCGTAGAGATTTAAAAATCCAGATAAACTTTCTAACCCTAGTTATCATCAGTTCCAGTTGCGAATACCAAGATAATCTTTGGTCAACCATGACACCAAGGTATTTTAAACTAGCAACTTTATTTATTTGAGAATAGTCACAGTCAGACTCGAGGTCGTCAGGGCATTTATGAATTTTTATCATAAAATCGGAGTTTGGTTGAGCGCTGCTAACTTTCGTAAAGCATATGTAATTTGTTTTGGAGATATTCAAAGTCAATAAGTTTTCATCTAGCCACTTTGCAACTTTTTTAAGTCCTAATTCCGCTGTTTTCTTTAAAGAACACCAAGTGTCTGCCACGAATACGATGGCAGTGTCATCTGCATAGGTAAAAATTTGGCCGTCTTCAAGCTCCATATCACACAACTGATTAATGTAAATCAAAAACAGGGTCGGCCCAACCACGCTTCCTTGAGGCACGCCGTAATTAACAGTCACAGTATCACTAATAAATTCACCTATTTTGACGGATTGCTTTCTGTCTTTAAGGTAACTTGTGAGGAGCGAAAGAGATTTATCCCTAAAACCAAGACCCTCCAATCTCCTCAATAGAATAGGCACAGACACCGTGTCGAAGGCTTTTTTTAGGTCTAGAAACACCGCCAAACATTTTTTGCCCTTATCAACCTGCCGGACAATTAGTTTGGTGAGATCGCCGACCGCATCCTCAGTTGACACACCCTTACGGAAACCATACTGCGATTTGGAAATGATATATATATGAATTAATCGAAATAACTGTTTTACATAAAAATCTAGTAAATTATAAATTACACCGGAATAAAATAGTTTATAACAAAGACTAATTCCAATGAAAACATTAGTCGTACGATCAAAAATAAATAATAAAAACAAGTTAAATAACTGACTTAAAACTAAATTAATTACTAAGTATAGTCATTCCTTTTGCATCAAGTTATTGACATGCGATTCATTTTTAATAACTATTATCGGTGAATCTTCATTTTTTTTCTAACGTATATCTTCCCATAGGATGACCAGCAAAATTTATAGTCCCGGGACTTAGCAAGATCGCGGGCTAAAAAGTACAAGCGGGCCCCTTTGGCTGTTAGTTGTTCTGATACATAAATTGGTTCATATTCATTTTTTGTAAAACCTAAGTGTTTGGCGCATAGTTTTTCTTTGTTTTTTGTATTATAATTTTTGGCATGTTTAAGGAACTTTGTTTTTAGCATCGTGGATGATAGCTCAGTTATGATATGCGTTTTATGTGTGTTATTTTTCCTGTGGACTCTATAAATATCCTTAATGTGCCTTTCATCAATATCGCAACCAATATTATTAGAAAGATTTAAGAATAACTTTATTAACATTTCCTTAGACTCATCGTGCACTTTTGGAACATTTTTAATTTCGATGCTGGTTTTACGGTTTTCACGCTGTAATTCTTCTATTTTGTCTTCTAGAAGGGTAATATAATCTTTATCCTTTCTAGTTTGTATTTCTAATTGCTCAATTTTCTTCTTCAACTCTTCATTTTGAGATGCAAGGAAATCCACCGTGTTTTGAATATCGCTGTTAGCGGTCTTTATTTCCATTAGTGTAGATTGAATTTTCTTTATATCCTCCTTTTGTGCGGCCATCATATTTGATATCATTAATTCTATACTGTCACGAAACTTTTCGAAGTCGTGGACACATTCGTTCTCTCTGCCTCGTTTATTTCCTTGAGCAACATAATTAGGCGGTGTACGATCCATTTGTTTGTAGGTATTTGGCTTAGCTGAAGATTTGTTAGAAGTGTTCATAGAAACACCCGCAAATTAAAATGTAGTTGCTTGTGTCGAATGTATTACAAAGATTACGATGTGACGTCACCCGGACGTTTGGTGTAGCGGTCAGCAACACACGTTCGAACTCACGCCGACACGACACAGGTTCAAAACCAAGAAATTCAACTAAAGTTTTTATATTTAAATTTTAAAATTTCGCACAAATCTCAACACAGTGAATACGTCCGAACGCTTCCGCGGTCCAAGGGGAAGAGGACATTCCTCTGTACATTCATGTGGACATTCCTCTGTACATTCATCCATTTTAAACTCATGTTTGAGCTACTGTAAAAAGAATACCCAAAAAGTTATAATATCAGAGGCCATTTAGAAACTAGTAGAGTTTGTGCCTCATTTTATTTATTTTCTAATTTTATAGCTGAGGAAACTTCGATTGTAAAGAAACGTCTGATATTTAATTCATGAATCACGTACGGAACAATTGAAAATAATTATGTTCGGTGTGTGTTAGTTCATCTCGTCTTCATTCAATGTAAGCTCATCATCACTTTAATAATTACGATGTTAATTATGTTGCGTCTCCTGTTACGAAGTATACAAAGAGATTTGTGTTGAGCTCGTCTATAACATGATTTATATTACTCAACGTTTTAATCTGATTGACAACAGTTTTGTTTATTGTTATGTAAATTAAAAGCTGGTTTAATTTTTTTCCTTACATTAAAGGAGTTGGAAGTCCTTACCATTATGATGATCTGGTCGTAGTACAGACCCCAGGTGCCTGCAAACACTGAGACGGTAAAGTAGGCCGAGGTATTGGCAGCCAGCGAGCCGTGTGATGGAGAACACGACAACGAGTACCCTGGATGATGAACCACCTCCGACCACTGGTCTAGTGAGATATTAACACTATCATACTACTCGTACAATCACTGTACAAACATATTAAAAATGTATATTCGATAGACTCACTTAAAATTTCAATAGGAAACCTTATCTTTAGGATGTACAACTTAACTCGCCTATAAATCTACATGACACTTATTGAAGTAAATCTTTATTACGCACGTTTTGGTTTAAGAACGTGAAAGTTTTACGAAAAGTGTGATCGGGAGATGGGAATGAAAGTGAGATCGAGACTTAAGTTAGTGAAGATAGAGAGAATATTACGGTTAAGGGATCATCATCATCATAATAATAATGGATGGATGCATGGATATATAGATGCATGGATGGATGGATAAATCGATGGATTTATACATTGATAATTGTTAACGGGGGCCAGAAAGAAAAATATAAAATTAATCATTATAAACTTATTTAATCTGTATTAACAAATTTTATATTTTATTAAATCTATTCCTACCCTCCTCCCTAGTATGAACGGTCCTGTGTCGAGGTCTCTCGTGTCTCCGGACGGCGCAGCTCCAGCGAGCGTTCAGACGACAAGTGTTACGGAGAGTGACTACACGAGACCGAACTAGACGGAACATTAATAATGAACTGATAAAACGATGTAACTATACGTTAATAAGCATTTATATTGTTGATTTATTTACATTAGAATCTCATAGACTCAAAATCAATTATGACAGACAGGGACTCTTTTAAAGATTCTCAGGGATTCTTTTAAAAGTTAGTTAAATTAATAATCCAGTAAGTTATTAAGAATGACAATTCTGAATAAGAAAAAGAATATGGGAATAAAGGGGCAAATAGGTATAGGAAAAGAGGATATCTCTTTTTCTTTTGTCAAATTTTTAATATCTCTTTCATAACACTCTTTCTAATAAGTCTTAAACCTGCTAGAGTAGAAACTGTAACTAATAATAATTGTCACATTTTACAACGGACTCAAATGTTTCGATATTTCTCTTGACACTCCAAGAAACGACCACTTCAGTAGATTGGAACTCTACAGCTTGTTTTGCACAAAGGTTCAGTGCGAATTAAAATTCCTATTTACATTTGTGAAGTCATTCTTAACGCAACATATCGGTGAGTCCAAAATGGCAGTCTGGTTAGTTATAATGTATGTCTTAACACAGGTTTCAAAGAATCGTACCGTTTGCAGATGCTTGAAAAAACTACTAAATATATTTCGATAAAAATTTAAAGCATTTAAACCATTCAACTGAGACAACAGAATGAGGCATAGACTATAGACGTCCTTGCTGGTTGGCTACAATTTCTTCTGTTTAACGTATTTTATGCATTTCTATCTGAACTCAATTCCAAAGTATTTTCAAGTTATCAAAGTCAATCTTCTTATGAACACAAAACAAATAAGTAGAAACAAGTAAAAAGAAATAAGTAAGTTGTGCAATTTAATTTTCGTTACTACTCGCAGTCCATTAACATAGACATTTTGTAATCGGTTGGCGTAACAAATATAATCAGTTACTATCTCATTTTATTGTTGAATAAAATATTCATATTCTTTGAAACACACTTTTACTTAATATTTATTGTGAACTTCTTAATAAATATTTTCAATACATATATGTGTAATTGTTTAGTAAATGTTTTACATATATATTATGATGTATTTAATGATAGTTTATTCCCTTATCGTTACAGAACTCCGAAATACTTAAAAAAGTTCCTCATATCTTTTAAAGTTATACATAAATATTAATTTATCATAATTTAAATTAAGTTTTGTTTTGTTTCTTGCTAAAAATATAAATGTCGTCTTAAGCGATGCACTGTAAACAGCGCCTTCATGAGTAACGACAGAGAGCAGGTTTCATTATGTATAGACATCTGACACCCACACATTATACATATTTATATGAAAAAGGATTTTTAATATGAGTAGTAAAGTTATCATGTTGCTGTTAAATTATTTGTTTAAGATGATTATATATATTGTATGTCTTGTCTCTGTTTGTTTTATGACCGTGACCTGTTACTGTATTATATATAACAGTCATAGATACACTACAGGATATAATCCATTCGATGAAACAAAACCGCTAATTATTATTTTAAATATTTCAAACACAAGGTAAACCTTCACCTCGCTATAATAAATGTGTAAATGCTTGATTCAATCTGAATGTAATAACTTCGAAATTAATACAAAGTTTTCATACCAATATAATACGAGTTAGTGTTGTTCAAAATCATAAATATTATTAATGTCAACTAACTTTATATATTATTTATATATTTCCGCATGTTCACAGGTGATTTGAAAATATATTACAGAGAACGCTCGCGACCATTACGACAGTGAGTGTAACGTGACACGTGACGTATGACCTGTGGGGATGTATTATAACACCATGTATATATTATATAGGAACTTGGTTGAACACCTGAGGGTAGCTGATATATAAGGACATGAGCTGCGCAAGTATTGTATGACGGTATGTTAGCTTGATGATTGAACAAACTTAATCTTTAAATGATTATTACATACAATACTATTATCACGTTGTAAGTAAACTCACAATTAGATATGCTGTAACTTCTCCTAATATGTATAAGTAAGACTTAAAATTCTAAAGATTATTAACAACTTTCTTTAAATAACTTATGTATGTTTGGAAAGGTTATAACAGAACTAAAAAGGAAAAAATAATAATAAACTATAATTATTATTTTAAGTAAACTCATTTTAATATTCCAACGAAAACTTTATTAAAGTCGGTCCTCTTATTTGTATTTTTCTATTTAATTTTCAAGTAATAAGTATGTTATTAAACCAATGAAAAATTACATCACAACACCCAATCCCATACCAAATTCATAGAAAACTGTCATTTTTGACAACTCGCAAAAGACGTTCGACTTTGTACTCATTGCATTCGACTATTTGTCACGAACACAATTTCATTATACATGTTCTTACTTTCCTATAAAAAGCGACAGGATTTTGATGTTACTTTCAGTATTCCCTTAGTTTAATAATACGTAGTAAAACGAGGAAATAATTATTTAAATAGCACTTGTAGAGATATATAAACACAAACATAAAAACATACATACCTACACATGCTAAGACCTTTGAAATGTTCCATTTTTTCAGATGCTGAAATAGATAAGCATATACGAAAAATGGACAGTTTTGGAAATATTAGGTATATATGGATCTAATTGATAAGCTCGTTTTTTGAGATAGGTTAATAATAAACATTTTATGGGGCAGCCCTTGGCATACTCTCTGGTGAGTTTAAATTGAATTTTTTTCATTAAAACCTCTATGAAACATCTTTAACTTGTTTAAAATAACTTCAAACTGGAATATTTCTATAAATAAAAAATATGTTAAAGCCATACTTTTGTAATGATACTAATCTTCTTCTTCCTGGCAATTTCCCAGCTTTAGCCAGTGTCTGCCTTACATGTTGTGAATAGTTTTGGCTAATTGTTTTTACGACCGGCCACCTGCCTGATATCAACCTTCTTTGGGAATGAATTAATCAGTGATGTCTAAATACTCTTAGAAAGTACATATGACTCGGAAAAATCACATTGGTACTTGGCAGGACCGAACCCGCGCCCTCATGCATGAGAGGCGGGCCTTTTAACCACTAGGCCACCACTGACTACTAATACTTGTAATAATACTAATATAGGTATTCAAATTATTGAATTTAATTATTCCAGGCGGTCGTGTGTTCATAACTTCTATATCAACGAACTATTTACAAAAGGCTATAGTGATAGCCATCAGATATTCGGCTGTGAGGAGACAGTTTGGTCCGGAGAACTCCAGTGAGGAAATACCAGTACTGGAATATCAGCAACAGGTGACATATTGTTTCTTGTCTTATATATAAAATTCTCGTGTCGCGGTGTTATAGAGAACTACTCCGAAACTGCTTGACCGATTTTGATGAAATTTTGTAAACATATTGAGTAGGTCCGAGAATCAGCTAACATCTATTTTTCATACCCCAAAGTCATAACGGTTGTTCACCCTTATTTTTTTTCGGTCGAATTTTTTTTGTTTTTATTTTTTTATAATGTAACATTAAAAAATACATACAACCCAAAATGTTTACTTTTTGATCACCAACCCTATTTTTTATATGGCAAAACAACGTTTGCCGGGTCAGCTAGTATAATATATATGTATGTATGTAATAATGTCTTTAATAACAACCTATCATAATTATACTAAGGTTGAATGGAATCAAAATAAATTGTCAAACTTCAAGATTCAACTGTACCGACTGACTTTAGTTATTGTCGATAACATTTATCCAACTTTATTTTCCACTTTCCCATATTAATTTTTTTATCTATGTTACCATTCTGCAATTCAGACCTTCTTAAATAATTGCTGATAATTAAACAAATTGCGGATGATAGTGTTTTATTAATATTCATATATAAAATTTTATTAGGCTATCAATTGGTATAGTTTAAAGACATTTTGTTACATTATTTTACTGTACTTATTATGATATAATATTTTTTCTGCAAATCCGTTTATTACCTCACTTAGCTGCTACATACGCGTACAGAATCTTCTGTACTTGGTTTGGTATCCTTCACATGAACATAACCATCGATAATTTAGCAGGTACACAGTACATTTTGGAAGGTCAATTTATAATGGTTTTTAGATTGTCCAGAGACTTTCTTCTTGTCTTTTGAAAGGATCCCGGACTTATAAATGATTATATAATTTAATTTAAAAGTGTTAAGGACACTATTCACCAGATATTTGTATGATAATCTATAAAGTCGTAATTAGTAAAGAGGACCAGTCATCTGATGTTAAAGAGATGTATTTAATACAACTGGACCTATGACTTTAGAAGTTTTTGATTTCAGATATATATCTGAACACGTGAACATGTTAGTAACAATGGTCTTATAAATAGAAAGATTATAATTATAGAAAAGTTTCATATCCTTAGGTGACAAAATATTTCGCTGGAACTGCAGTATAGTTTACAAAGTTATACACGCGGATTCGGATGGATGTTATTTGTCGTTCCAAAACGCCATCTTATCTGGCATATAAACAAAACTTCATTATACATCTTTATTTCTCAGATATTTTAATATACTTAATAGGACTTAGACAAAGAATGGTGTTTGTATATGTATTTACACGCCTTAACTATAATATACCTTTTATAAAAAAAAGCTTTTAAATATAATAATACAAACGTATCTGCCACTATTACTCTATACTAGAAAGACTGGTGACTGATTTCTATATTTCCAGGTGTTCAAGAGATCGCAGCAGGTCGTGGTATAGAGGTGCACGCTCTGTCGTCAGCGGTGAAGCCGGTGTGTGGTTGGGGCGCCCGGGACGGCATACAGGCGGCCAGGGATGCTTGCGGGAGACACGGCTACCTCACGGGTAAAGACTCCTTATACATAACTAGCTTTTGCCTGCGACTTCGTCCGCGTGGAATAGTGACTTCCGGCAGATTTTTGCTTCTTCCCACATAGTTCCCGTTCTTGCGGGATTTTCGGAATGGTCGAGTTCCCGCAGAATTTTCAGGATAAAACCTATGTTTTTTTTTCGAGTTCCAAACTATATCTGTACAATTTTTATAGTAAATTTAATTATTTTAAAGAACTTCTGCATATACTAAAAAAAAGGGTTATTATTTTGAAACTAAATACTATCGTAAAACAAATAAAGTACCTACTATATAGTAAACAACTACAAAATGAAACTGTGTTTAAAAAGTAATATTACGATGATAATTATATCGCATAAACAAATTAGCGCTGCATTCAACCGTTCAGTATGGAGCCGACTTCGGGAAAGAGCCGCGCGGCATGGTATCTCGCGGAGCTACACCCCCTCCTGGTTTGCCCGCAAGCACCGCTTTCTCCCGCCGCGCCCGCGCCGGCCAGCGCAGAGAGCGAGTTAGTTTCGTTTCGGAGTTATTTATCACTACGCACAATCAACATCGCGACGCGATGCAGCGAAACGCTTAGTTAATTTTTAAGTTACCCAAATTTTTAAACTCGCTATATCTTTTGAATGGAGTATCCGATTAAAATAATTTAAACAGCAATATAAAGATATTGAACTACTGTTAAATAAAAAGTAAGTTATTTAGATAAGTATAAATATCATGGTATGAATATCGACATCTTATTTTCGTTGCCGATTTAAATAGTTTGTTAAACTAACTATAATACTTAGATATATACTACCGCGGACTTTTCTGTAGATAATAATGCGGTCAACAAAATCGTAGTACATTATTTCGCTCCCTCATCAATAGTTATTGCAGCGCACGCGATTTAAGGTATTTCAATAGTGATTTTTATCGACCGTGGTTTATGTTATCGAAGTTTTCGCAAGGATCTCTAATTTTTTTCAAAATAAAATATAGCCTATGTTACTTTGAAAAGATGTACAATCATAATGGTGACAGAATTTTTAAAATCGGTAAAGTAGTTTTTGAGCCTATTCGTAACAAACAGACAAACAAACAAACAAAAAAATATTACCTCTTTATAATATTAGTTTAGATAAATACTCCTTATACAGAATAACATATATCAATAACTGGTTGTACTTGCTGTAGTGTTTGTATATATATAGTAGATATAATACACTGTCTCACGTACCCCACTGGAGGGGGTGGCAAGCGCTCGGCAGTCTTACAACTAGCGCGGAGCGGAACGGTGACGTGCGCCTGCGCTCTAGGCGGGGACAGTATTGAGCCAGTGACTAGTTATGCTTACATAGATAACCAGAGGTCCTACACTTGCGAATTTAATCAAATAATTTTTATATATTCATTATTTACTATCATTGACCAAATACTCTATTTAGTTTCTCGTTATTATATCATCTATTTGCTACTAAAATGACCGTCAAAATTGCTAAATATGGTCCGTAGATTAGATAGAAGAAGGACATTCACCAAAATCATAATTACTTCTACATTTATATGTATAATCTTTTATTACGTATACATATACTGAAGAGTGTAGTTCCATTGATATTGTTTGATACATATTTATCTATCTTCTCAGCGGCGGGTATCTGTGATCTCCGTAATGATAACGACGCCAACTGCACGTACGACGGTGAGAACAGTCTATTGCTGCAGCAGACGAGCAACTGGCTGCTTTCCGTGTGCCCAGGAGGGGAAAATAACATCTAAAGCCACTCCGCTGTTAAACGAGGAGACGATGTTCACCATAAACAAGTGTTGGAAGGATGGGTTCTGAGAAAAGTATTGAAACACTGAAATCGATATTAAGAACTTGTTTATAAAATGTATCTCTGAACCCATCTGGATAATGAGTATACTGTTTGAATTTAATTGTATCTATAGTTCAAGTTAAAAGTAGTAATATTTTGAATTTCGTTTTCTTTGAATTATTATTGTATATAGTATTCCAAATTGCAGGAGTTGTATAAGACCCTTCATATAGTAAAGTTGTTAGACCTTCACTTTCGCTAGGACCCTCGTCACCATCTCTGGTGTGTTTTGTGTGACATGCTTTTTATTTTCTCTCTAAGCAATGATCTCACAGAAGCAGTATAATTATCCCACCCTGGAGTCCCGTACACTCCCAATCACCTCCAGGCAGCTTGACGGTCCGTCATAAATAATAGTTGGAATTCTGATCGTGTTCACGAAATTTTCATTTAAAATTATTTATTTTAATATTGATATTTATATGTATTAAGAAGCATTTTTATCTCAATAAGGATTTAGTTCTCCATAATATGAAAAATATTTTTTGTTGTTATTCTTATTTTTCTTCTTTTATTATTGCTAATTCCTCAAGTTATGAAAGGATATACTTAATTGAACTGATTAATGTCCATAAATGTCGATCAAATGAATTCCTTATCACCATGAATCCCATAACCGACTCCAGATTTATGATCTATCGTATCGTATTTATGAGAAATAATTTTTATAAGCTTCCCTCACAATATAAAACCATTGACCGAACACTATTTTGTGACAGTTACCTTTATAAGACAATAATTTTTTTATTATCTTAACGTTTATTTTAATAATTATTGATTCGTATTTTTTTTTTGTATGACAGAACGTTTTCGTTAGTCTTACTCGGAATTTGTTATAATTTTACAACAGCATGTTTAATATAAAGAGCCAGCATCACCACCCTTCATTACACCCCGGTCACTACAACCTTCTGTTAGTGGCGTTTTGTGGCGCCGAGTGGTATATTTGAAACCGACCATCATTTATAGACAGACAGATAACCGTTGCTTTATTATCACCCGATACCACTTGGATTTAAAATAGTAACAAAGGTTATAAGTAGTCTACCGTATTCTAAAGTTTACTATATAATATATATTTTTATGATTGTAATAAACAGGATATTGTCCTTTATTTATCCATACATTGATAGGAAAAGATTTGAGGAGCAGACTGACATATAGCAAGCAGCAGTCTGATGATAACTTTTATCACAGTGTAATAGATAAGGGATATCTTGTAATTGTTTGTGATTGGTAGATGTGCTATTATTTATTTCTATTTTTATTTTATTTTCTAATAAAATTATAAACCTGTCAGTTGATGTTTTAAAAAAAGAAATCCATTCAACACTAATAAATATACATAGAAAATAAAATAAAAAATTCTTGAGATTCATAAAATGAACACATTCTTTAATTTACTAATTGAAATGGATCTATAACAACAGGAATACGTAGTTTGTTATGTTACATCTTTATTATTTAGTAACTTATGTTTTAAAAGCTTTTGGTCGCCAATATTGTGTACTTTGTTCAGTTTGATCTACTATATAAAGTTGTTATTGTAAGTCTCATACAAAATTTCTCTTTACTCGCTATTGTTGTGTTCATTTATTTATATATATGAACGGAAGTGCATACGAATAATTTGAAAGATTGACTAAGACAAATCAGGATATTTTTAACAAGTTTTTATTTCCCTGATTAATTATTTTCTAATATGTATTTGTTGCTAAAGAATACAGTCTTTAAAATTTGTAAGAGACCAAATTGAATAATTTCATTATATGTATGCAATTGTTAATATAATTGAAATGCTTTTTAGACTCGCCACATCAAGTTTTTCATATTCACAAACTGTCGGTTCAACTAGTTGCACTGTACCGTGCAAAGGTTGATATGAGTTTGTCGACAACATTTTTCCCTCGAAGTTTTGAAAGGCGTTCCCTCACGAACATTGTGAAAAATTAATTATATTAGATTTTTTTTATGAATGAGTTGTTGTTTAAAAATACGATTAGATTATGTAGTTTTTTTATTTCCTTTTACTAATTCAAAAAATTATTCGAAAAACAAATACAAAAATTAAAATGTTGTGTTTACTTTTAATATATTTCTGGGAAAATATAAAAGCAAATCTTATTTATTATGTTAAATAAAACAACGCTCCTAAATATCAAAATAAAAATATTTGGTTATAACCAGAGAAGTTAATAAAATAATATAACACAAAGGACGTGATAAATTTTTCGTTGTGACACTTGACCCAATTCCCTTCTTGTATATGGACTATATGAAATATAAAAGTATTTATTTTTTTTATTTATGAGGATACTTTTTAACATTAGGTAATCAAAATTCTTCTTGTATTATTCCACAATCTATTTGTTATAAATAAAATGTAAAACCAAATCAAGTGAAGTAAAGTCGAGCGTATTTTCACTAGATGTGGCCTTTGATGTACATGTCACGTCATGATTTGCATATGAAAAGGCCTGATATACCCTTTATTGAAGGTTGAACTGGCTTTGTTCCGATTTAATTAATTACCTTACAGTTTCCAACATTTTATTTGCTCCTGAGGACATTAGCGTTGTATAGATGAATGAGGTGACAACTTCAGATGTTTGACTATGTGTATTTTTGTTGTAATAATATATTTTATATCAATAACTAATATCAATACTATTATAAACATACTTCGTAGTCTCAGATCCATCTTCTCGTCACATTCTCTGATAGTACAACATTAGTTCCATGCCAGTGTTTCCATCCAATTAGTGTAACTTCCAACAATTCATCCGAGTCAACACAAAGCGGGTCAAGCATCTAATAAATGGGTTCCTTGTTACACTTACTTTCTCTCATTTATTTACAGTTGATTGAACGTTCTGTTCCTTTATAGCTTTTTAGGGTTCCTTTACAGATAAAAATCTTAAGAAAAGGTTGTTTGTTTTGCAGCTTCCGGTAAAATTTTAATTAAATCATTATTTAATATGACTGAAATAATAATTTCATATAATAATAATGTAAAGAAATAAATTTGTGAAAACTATGTTTACCTTTCCCAGCAGGTGTTTTGTGTTTTCTTGTGTAACAGGAATTTAATTAATTAATGTTAAGGTTCTAGGTTATTAATATAATAATAAAATTATTCAACCATATAATATAAAGTGATGTGGAACTTGAGTGTATGTGATGCTCCTACTGGAAATGCTAGCTATGTAAGAAAATAAACATTGCTTTTAAACAACAAAAAAAGTTTTTCAAAATGTATACAAAATGATAATAATTACTGACTGACTGATTTATTAACAGTCAGTAGTCAGGAATGATGAAATGAACGTGTTTGTTATATTAAGAAAATTATTACTTCACATTCAAGATGTTAACAAACGAACATTACTGATTTGTTTTTAATAATCTTACACTTACTTATGTTTGTTGCTCTTTGACACACAAACTTATTATTATTGATTATTATATATCTCTACAATATTCTAATTGAGAATTGTCAATAAAGTTTATCTTTGTAGTTTATCCGTGCAGTTCCCGTGACGTATTTTCACCGACTACAAATTTTTTTGAAGGGTGGATATATTATTTAAATTTATTATTTAATTATTAATTCTTGTTACTAGACAAATTAATAAATAATAATAAAATGTTAGTTCAATAAATATGTATCAGAAAAAAAAAGTCTGCTTTCCATATTGACATTAAGTAATGAAAGAATCGAACATCGAAAGGAATAGTTTTGAAAACAAATTGATCATCATCATAACATCACTTACCTTTAATAAAGAATTCATATATTTTGTGTCTCCTCCACTGTACTAACCCACATCTTCATGACACACTTTATATTTCTAGGTCAATGGACAGTTCATTATAGATTTGATTAAAATATATTAAGTGGTTGTTGGTATTTAAATAGAATGTTATAGAGGTTTATTTATTTATTTAAAGGTACATCAACATCACACATATTCAACACACATAAACAACAGATAAAATTGATAAAATCTAGGACCTGATATGAGTGACAATTACAGACGTATACAACATTCACAAAAGGAAAAGCTTGAGACCCTTTTAAGTAAAACTGCTTCTTTAGTTAGTATTATATTGTTCTTTAAATTAAACCATTATTGTAGGTGTATAAAGTTGCATCTCAATAGATTAGTTTATACACTTTTTTAAAGGAATATTTTCCCGAACACACAAATACATATATCAGGTTAACAAAACCTTATGATGAATATAGTTGTAACACTTCAGATCGTGTCTATAGACGTTACAAGAACACTGTCAAGGGAGGTGAAGTAATCTTTTCATTTCAGTCTCTGAATATTTCTATTTGCGTGATACAAATAAAACAATAGCAACATTCATATTCCTACTCGTACTGCCATCACTGGCTATTGTTTGCTCACCTCAGGATACGACCAAGTATATAAAACATATGTTTGAGTAAATACTCGGAGTTTAACCCAGTTTTATATAAATACGAACCAGACCGTTGTCGCGAGACCTCCTTCTACATATGCAATATAAACATTGAACGTATTTATGTTTAAATTCATCTTCAACTGCGTTTATTTAAAATAACTCTGTGAAGTTATAGAAAATAATGACTTCACCGATATCTCGTGGAATGTTAGTTTTCCCTTCACTCAAGATATTTGACACTCCGTCTTGATAAATCTAACTATTTGGCATATAATAACCAAATCACTAATTTATTTTCATTCAATAATCATTACTACAATGTTCATATAAATAATATAAACACAAGTCCCTGAATGTTCCTCATTAAAGCACATTGTATGTCTAATACGAATATCAAATATATTATTAAATCGTTTCAAACAGCGACTCTCTGAGTGAGTTTACAAAGTGAAGCACGTTGACTAT